CTCACTCACCCCTCTCCCTGGGTGCCCTGGAGCCCTCCCCTCTCCTCACTCACCCCTCTCCCTGGGTGCCCTGGAGCCCTCTCTTCCCACACTCACACCACTTTTTTGGTGCCCCATGCTCCTGGGCTCTCCTTTGCTGACCTAGCTCTGCCTCTACCTGGTGTCCAAATGTGCAGGTATCCCAGGCTCCCAGCTCTGTCTCTCTACCTGTGTGGCTCTGAACAGGGTCTGTGTTGCTCTCCCTGCTGGGCATCAGCCTCCTGGCTGTACCCCAACCATACCATTCTAGACTCTGTCACCTCTTCTCAGTGAATTACCCTGTTACCCCACTTAGGCAGCTGCTCGCCCTTCCTTCACACCCCCCGAATTCCACCATCATCGTTGACCAAAGCCAGCTCACAGCCTCCCTCCCAGAGGCCCTGCCCTCTCCAGAGCTACTGCCCACTCACACAGCCCCATAAAACCCGTCCAAGTCAGAGTGTGGGTGTCCCTTAAGATGGCTCCGCACCCCGCCTGGGGCTGGCCACACCTGGCCTTTTTGGCGCACTCATGCCAGCCAGCGCCACCCCACCGGCACCCGTGACCTCCCCTCAAGCCAAGACTGAGCTGGCGGAAGAGCAGGGCTTGCCTGCAGCTGGACGCCAGTTCCCACTGCCTTCGGTCGGGCTGCAGCTGAACTCACCCTCTGCTCTGTCCCAAGGACCCCAAGGCGTGCCCGGCAGCAGCAAAGACGGCCAGGACGGTGCTCCCGGTGAGCCTGGGCCTCCCGGGGACCCGGGGCTTCCAGGCGCCGTCGGGGCCCAGGGGACTCCGGGGATCTGTGACACCTCAGCCTGCCAAGGAGCCGTGATGGGAGGGGTCAGGGAAAAATCTGGCTCTAGAAGCTCATAAAATCCATCGGAAGGAAGCAAGCAAGTGACGAGGACGCCTGACAAAGCAGAGTGGCCACCAAGGAGCGGGCGGTGTGGCAGGCTGGCCACGTCCGGGAGAGCGGGCTGCCGCCCAAGAGCGTGCCTCAGGAGGCCCGCAGCTAATCCAGTCTGCAAGCCCAGCGCTTGCAAGAAGGCAGGGTGTATATATAGAATGTTTGTACAATTCCGTGAGATGAAACATCTTCAGTAACTTGTTTACATAGCATTGTGTAAAGACTATGATCTCATCCCAATAAAACGATACATTAAATCTTCAGATTAATGACTGGCTACAGAGTAACAAAAAATAAAGAATTTAATGTACAGTAAATCCTCTCCCATACAAAGATCTAGTCTGATGTTACTGTGCAAACTCACATCTCCAGTCAACAGTATTGAGCGCAGGTGACTCTGGCACGCTAGCGTCTACTGGTATTATCTGTTGTCATAAATAAAGCCACTCATTTAAAAACTCAATTCCAAATACCAGTGTATTTCACCTAAGTAATGACTCTCGATAGGAAAATGAGTGGGCCTTTAGGTAATCTACCGAGATATTTCATTTGTGGGCAAAAGAGCTTTAAAGCAAGTTATCTGGAAAATGTTTAGCAAAAAGGTTTACAATGGTCCTGCCTGTTGCAATGCAGCACCATGTGACTCAAAATCATTACGAAGGGGTGTGATAGAACCAATAAAATTTCCAAACTGTTTTTAGTTAACAATTTAACTTGTTCCAATTGCTAAAGGGGCATATTTAAAATGTAAATAAGATAAATAAAAAGCAATGTACCTTTTCAGACTACAGAAAGTACAAAGGATGCTAATGTTTAAGTTATCATGTTAAGAAAACATGATGGAATCGGGTAATTGAAAAAAATACTTACTAATTATCAAGATGGCTTCCTCCCCAAGTGGTCTAAGAGGACATTAATGGGTAAGTATTTGGTTCTAGATAAATATCTTTAGAAAATGTGCTCTCAAAGTCCCTTCCGGAGTCCCGTCAGCCTGAGTCACGTCCCTTTCGAGTCAGACTATCGGAGCAGAATTCCAGGGCTGTGGAAAACATGCGTGGGTCACAAAGGAACGGCTGTTCATTCCCAAAGGATTCCTTCAGTCCGATCACTTGATCTCCATCGGGGGGCTACTCTGCAGACTGCCCTGTGCAGGGCAGGTCCCCAAGGAGTCCGGTCTGGTCAGCTTTAGCCTTCGGCCAGTTTTACCGCAAAATACACTCTCAAATTCCTAAAGTTAAGAAGTGGTTGTTAATATACTGAATTCATAGACGTGAAAACTGCTGTCTTCCAATGTGCAAAAGGTTTAAATTAAGAGCTATGTAAATGATTTTAAAATACACTGTTTTAAGGCATCATTCACAAATTCATGTCATCCCTCACAAGGGGGTTTATATGATAAACAGATTTCAACATTTTTTTTTCAAATAGCGGTTACACTGTACATGTATTTTTATTTAATTTTTCCAATACGCAGAATATCTGGCCTCACTGTATTGATTTTATTGTAGTAAAATATACATCACATGAATGTTTCAACCATTAACAGGCTCTAGCTAATAAATGTGTAAACCCAGAATTTGAGAGAAAGTAGAGTGTAGATATTAAATGTGTCAGGCCAGGCGCAGTGGCTTGTGCCTGTAATCCCAGCAGTTTGGGAGGCTGAGGGGACTGGATCACCTGAGGGGAGTGGAACACCTGAGGTCAGGTGTTCAAGACCAGCCTGACCAACATGGTAAAACCTCATCTTTATTAAAAATACAAAATAATCTGGGCATAATGGCACATGCCTGTAATCCCAGCTTAGGAGGCTGAGGCACGAGAATTGCTTGAACTTGGGAGGTGGAGGTTAACAGTGAGCCAAGATCATGCCATTGCACTCCAGCCTGGGCAACAAGTGTGAAACTCCATCTCAAAAAATGAATTAAAAAAAGTTTCAACCATTAACAAGTCAGGGGCATCTACCCCCATCCTACAGTGACTCACTCCCTTCCACACTGCCACATACTCAGGGTTCAAGGCCAGCACGGTGGAGGTGCTGCCCGCTGAGATGGTTCTGTCCTCGGGGAGACCCTGGTGGTACCCTGCCGGCAGGGCAGGGACAGGTGGGCTTGCTCCCATCACACCACCTCTTTTACAGAGGCCTCAATTATAATGGTGGGGTCTCAACTGTGGGTAACCCCCAACATGCGCACCGAGGATGGACAGCTGTGCAAACCCCAGGCTCAATTAGTTCCTGAAGAATATCTTAGTTTATAGTGTTATTACTCAGCTATTTCCTTTACATAATCCTTTAAATATAATCTATATTAGCTTATAGAATTACTGCCTGAAGTATAACTTACTGCTTACACAATCATACTTATATCTAGCATACTTAGTTCCATATCATCTTTCTATATAATCACATAGAAAGCCACGTCCTTCTTGAAATCTGGTGTTCGGGAGTTTTGTCTGCAGCTTGTCCTGCTACAGCTCAATCTCTGCTCACTGCAACCTCCAGCTCCTGGATTCAAGTGATTCTCCTGCCTCGGCCTCCCGAGGAGCTGGGACTACAGGCACACACCACCACACACAGCTAACTTGTGTACTTTTTAGTAGAGATGTGGTTCCACCACGTTGGTCAGGCTGGTCTCGAACTCCTGAGCTCAGGTGATCCGCCTGCCTCGGCCTCCCAAAGTGCTGGGATTAAGCCACCGCACGGGGCACAATACTTTATTTTTAAAACAGGTCATGACATAGCATTTGCCACATACAAGCTACACACGCTCTGCAGCTGAGAGGCCCTCCAGTGGCATGTTCAAAAAGAGAATGAAAATCCATAGGTAGGCCAGGCACAGTGGCTCACGCTGGTAATCCCAGCACTTTGGGAGGCCAAGGAGGGCGGATCACCTGAGCTCAGGAGTTCGAGACCAGCCTGACCAACATGGTGAAACCTCGTCTCTACTAAAAGTACAAAAATTAGTCGGGTGTGGAGGCGGGCACCTGTATTCCCGGCTACTTGGGGAGGCTGAGACAGGAGAATCGATTGAACCTGGAAGGCAGAGGTTGAGGTGAACTGAGACGGCACCACCACACTCCAGCCTGGGCAACAGAGGGAGACTCCGTCTGAGAAAAAAAAAAAAAAGTAAACCCAGAAGGATTTAGGTATAAAGAAGCACGGTGTCTGCAGCTATCAAACAGCTCCGAAAGCTGCCAGAAGCTGGGACTGACAGAGAGAATGGAACAAACTTGGACCAGCCTACAGAGAGCGCTTCATATACTGTTCTTGCAATTTTTCTGTAAGTTTGAAATTACGCCAAAATTTTAAATTACCAAAAGTAAATAGAGCCATCTAAACCCGAAATGTGCGGCATTCTCTAGACAACTGGCCTGATTGCTTCGAAGCATCAATGCCATAGTAAATAGCTGTGGGAGGGATTCTTGCAGCTCAAAGAACCTGAAAACCATCATCAAATGCGGTGTATAATCCATGGCTGGGTGCTGGGCTTCGGGGAAGAAACAGCTATGGAAGTCATTTTTAGAACATTTTGGCTGGGTGTGGTGGCTCATGCCTATAGTCCCAACACTTAGGGAGGCTGAGGCAGGAGGATCACTTGAGCCCAGAAGTATGAGCCCAGCTGTGAAACGTGGCAAAAACCCCATTCCTACAGAAAATTAAAAAATTAGCTGGGCGTGATGGTACACACCTGTAGTCCCGGCTACTCAGGAGGCTGAGGCAGGATTCCTCGAGCCCAGGAGGCAGAGGCTGCAGTGAGCCATAATTGTGCTACTGCACTCCAGCCTGGGAGACAGCAAGACCTTGTCTCAAAAAAAGAAAATTAAAAATTAAAATTAGGCAGGTATGGTGGCAACAAAAGAACATTTTGGGCAAATCTGACTAGTCTGTGCATTACAGGATACAAAAAAGACTTATCATCTTGGTGAGGCGTGATAATGGTGCTGGGGTTACATGGAAGGCCTGTCTTTTGGAGATTTTTTTTTTTTTTTTTTTTTTTGAGACAGAGTCTCACTCTTGTCACCAGGCCGGAGTGCAGTGGCGCAATCTCAGCTCACTGCAACCTCCGCCTCCTGGGTTCAAGTGATTCTCCTGCCTCAGCCTCCTGAGCAGCTGGGACTATAGGCGCCCACCACCACGCCCAGCTAATTTTTTGTATTAGAGACGGGGTTTCACCGTGTTAGCCAGGATGCTCTTGAACTCCTGACCTCATGATCTGCCTGCCTCGGCCTCCCAAAGTGGGGGGATTACAGGTGTGAGCCCCTCTTGGAGATTTATGAAGAAATATTTAGAGATGAAGTTTCATGTCTTTGAAATTGTGCATGTATACAAAGTAAATAGGGTAAATGTTAATCGCTGAGACAGAAAGATGAGCGTACAGGTGTTCACTGTACTTCCTCTGTTCACTAAGAAACTAATGTGAAGTGAATCACTGGTTGCTGGCTCCGCCCCACCCTTGTCTGCACCCCCGCCTCCCGATGTCCCCACCTGATGCCCTCAGAATGCCGAGACCCTGCTTCTGAGTCTTCCCTCTCAGTAACAGCCCCATCCACACAGCCCGAGGCCAAACCCCAAGTCATCCCGACACCTTTTTCCCATCGCATCCCTGTCTGATACTGCCACAAACACAGGCAGCCTCGTGCCCTTCCTCCTCCCCAGGGCCATCACCTGGCTGCCATCGTCCAGCGAGCCACAGTGGGGTGATGTGGGTCAGGTCTTGTCACTCGCTCAACCCTCAGGACTTGGGCCTCACCAGGCCCTAGCCTGTCCCAGGGCCCTGCCTGGCAATGCTGGCTGGCAGGCAGGTAGGCACTCCTCAGACCCTACTGCCCCCAAGCCCCAGCTGCCAGCTCCCCATCATCACTGGGTCTTGGCTGGGCACCTCCCTCAACCACCCAATCCAAAGCAGCCCCCCTGCCAGGTTGGCTCACAGCAGCGTCCTCCACCCGCAAGGCCCTGCCCCCACCGTCTGCATATTTCCTTGTCCCTGCCTCCCTCTGTGCCCGAGATGTCTCTGTCTTGCCCAGGGTACCCCAGCACCCTCAGCAGTGCCTGGTTACCCTGGAAAAGACCTGCTGAGTGAAATGTGTACTAAAATAATGCAGAGAAATCGCTTAAAACTCTCATTATTGCATCTTTAAGAACAAAAATATGCATGCAAGTAAACGGGAAATCACAAAGGAAACAATAAGTACCCATGTGTTTTGGCCTTTTATGTTCTAATGCCCTGAGAAAACGGTGAACTGACTTGACTTCAGCCTATTTCTTGGTGGGTCTACTAATGTGACCCAGAAGTAATCAGGTTCAATGTAATTACATTTCAGAAATATTCAGCAAACATCATGTATGTAAAAGAGCATATCTATAGCATTTGGTCTACTTAATCTTTGACCATACAGTTAACGTTTTTTAATTTCAAAAATTATAAATGCCTTCGTCCTACGTGAGTAAATTATATGATGATTTACTAACAGGTACACAAAGCCAAAACATTAAAGCATTTTTTAAAACATAAAAGCTTTATTTTATCAAAACATACCAACAGTCTACCTCTAACAATAATCTTCAAGAGTAACTGAATCATAAACAACCATAAATGATCCAATTAGAATACATTTAACTTAGTATCACTTTATAATGCAATTAAATGTATAATAAAAATAAAGTATGCAACTCACAAGATGTGAATGTCACATGGACACAGAAAAGAGAGACGAGGTAAGCCAATACGTGGCGCTGAAGTGAAGAGACCCTCACTCAACAGAGCCCAGCTGTGGGGGGCCTCTCTCCAGTCCCCCCATGACAAAGACACAGGAGCCCTTCTTTTGAGACAGAGTCTCGCTCTGCAACCCAGGCTGGAGTGCAGTGTCACCCTCTTGGCTCACCACAACCTCTGCCTCCCAGGTTCAATGATCCTCCTGCCTCAGCCTCCTGAGCAGCCGGGACTAGAGGCTCCCACACGACCAGCTGTCTGTCTGCTGCGGCAACCTTAGCTCGTTCACTAGTGAGACTCCTGCCTGAGTCCACAGCAGCAACTCCGCCACAGCTCTGACCAGGTACAAAGTCAGGACACTGCGTATGTATTTCACTAAGGTCTGCTCACTCCTGGAAGGTCAAAGAGCCACTCACCCTGCCCACTGCAACACTGAGACCGGGACCTGGAACTCGGGTCCCCCCAAGGCAGGGCCCAGAACCAGTCCTGTGACTGACACCTTCTTCCTTTTGGACCACCGAGGGGCTGACAGAACTCCCGCATTCAAACCACACGTCCGGTTCCAGCCAGGCATGGCGGCTGGCTGCAGGCCACTGCCATGACCACACAGAGAGGATCAAGGCAGGGTGGCTGCCCCAAGGGACTGGAGATGTTGGCGCTAACACCCCAGCTCCTCTGAGTCACCCAGTCCACAGAAATACATTTCTTACAAACCTTCTGGGCACACTTGAGGTCCAGATCAGACTATTTGACACTTACCTGCATTTCTGTTTTTCTTTCTTTTTGGGGGGTGGGGATGGGGCAGGGTCTTGCCCTGTTGCCCAGGCTGGAGTGCAGCGATACGATCTCAACTCAAACTCCCGGGCTCGATGGATCCTCCCGCCTCAGCCCCCTGAGCAGCTGGGACCACCGCATACGCCACCACACCAGGCTCATTTTTGTATTTTTTGTAGAGGTGTTGTTCTTGCCATGTTTCCCAGGCTGGTCTCAAACTTCTGGACTCAAGAGATCCCCCTACTTCAACCCGCAAAGTGCCGGGATTACAGACATGAACCACTGTGCCTGGCCGGTTGTTGCTCTCCTAATCCCTTTCACAGGGTTTTCTGAGGGCAAAAGTCATGTCCTACACAACCGTCAGGCCACACTTGCTACCTGACAACTGACTCTTCGGTTATTTACACACTGCAGTGTAATACCCAAGGCTGTGACTATTACTTTAATAAATAACAAGTTACATAATTTTTTTTTTTTTTTTGAGATGGAGTCTTACTTTGTCGCCAGGCTGGAGTACGGTGGTGCAATCTCGACTCACTGCAACCTCTGACTCCCTGGTTCAAGCGCTTCTCCTGCCTCAGCCTCCCAAGAAGCTGCGATTACAGGTGCGCAGCACCACACCCAGCTAATATTTTTGTATTTTTAGTAGAGACAGGGTTTCACCATGTTGGCCAGGATGGTCTCAATCTCCTGATCTTATGATCTGCCCACCTCGGCCTCCCAAAATGCTGGGATTACAGGTGTGAGCCACTGCGCCCAGCCGACAAGTTACATCATTAACGAGCAGGGCTTTGTTCATACTGGACTTCGTATTTGATGCTCAATTCCAGGAAACAAAGGACTGTTTGAATTATCCTTAGGAAAACAGAGGGACATTGATAAGGAAAATTTGTAAAATTCTGAAAATCCACCTGGCCTAACACTAACCTTTTTAAGAGAATCTCCATGTCTTTCCTGGATATATTTCAGGAATGCTGTGGTCCACTGCAGAGTTGTGGCCTTATCAGTCTCGGCATTGCAGAATGGGACTAAGAGATTCAACTCATCACAGCAAATGCGGATTCTGCGCCTACAGTCAAAACCCAAAGTCATCACCATGAGAGGCCAGAGCAAAACAAACGTGTAAAGTGTTTCTCTAGGACTGGAGGGAAACAGAGCTCAGGAAGCCTGGCCCCTGAGTGCCATTGAGGCAGCCATCATCACGGGAAGCCCCCCGGCTCTGCCATGGCCTTGTCTAGAGGCGGCCACTGCACTGCCTTCGGGATGCCAGAGCATCCTTGGGTGCCACTGCAGCCCCATGTCCCACATACTCCCTGGAGTTTCCCTATTTAACTTCTCACAGGCCACGTTCAAGTCTCCGGATGAGGGATGGCTCCAAAGGCCCTGAAGCTGGAAGCAACATTTTGTGTCTGCTTTCTTTGGGCAGATTACTCTCTCATTCAAGACTGATATTACTTGCCCCTCACGGGCCACATACCCTACTGCGAACTCACGCACAGCTTTCAGATTCTGAGAGGTCCCGATTCAAAACGGATCACGGCCCAACACTCTGTTAAAATCCTGAAACTCAGTCTTCGTAGGGACACTTTAAACAACTTGAGTCTTGCTATTAGACGGTTTCTTAAACTTTTACATGTTATATTCAGTAACACGCAAAGTCCTAAACAAGCAGATACTGAGCAACTGATTCAATATGGCCCCGGCCATTCATCTTCACTCCCATACATTTAGAATTTTAATGAGACTTTGCAAGGTCAAAGCAGCAGCTGGACTTCTAGGCATTGAGCCAAACTTTTTTTTTTTTTTTTTTTTTGAGACAGAATCTCACACTGTCACCCGGGCTGGAGTGCAACAGCGTGATCTCAACTCACCGCAACCTCCGCCTCCCAGGTTCAAGCGATTCTCCTGCTTCAGCCTCCCAAGCAGTGGAGATTACAGACCCACTACCACACCCGACTGACTTTTTGTATTTTTTTGTAGAGATGGGGTTTCCCTGTGTCGGCCAGGCTGGTCTCGCACACCTGACCTCGAGATCCGCCCGCCTCGGCCTCCCAAAGTGCTGGGACGACAGCCCTGTGCCACCGCACCTGGCCTACTGAGCCAAACACTCTTTATCAGCTCATTGAATTCTAACCACAAGTTTGTGCAGTAGAGCTGGAGGGCAAACTTTCAAACTATCAACACAAGGTCTAAGGCTTTCCACACAGCAGGTACTCAATAAATGTCTGAAATAAACATCAGAGCAGGTGCAATGCCCTTCATGATTCACAGTAGGTTCGGGGAAGTCCTTAGTCTGTGTGGTTAAGTATCATAAAAGTTATCTAGCTAGCTTTTTTCTTTTCCTTTTTTTGAGACGGGTCTCACTTGGTGGCCCAGGCTGGAGGGCAGTGGCATGATCATGGCCGACTGCAGCGTTGACCTCGCGGGCTCCAGCAATCTTCTCACACCTTAGCCTCCCACGCAGCGGGGACTACAGCTGTGCGCCACCGCCACCACTAATATTTTGGTTTTTCTTTAGAGACGGGGTCTTGCTATATTGCCCAGGCTTGTCTCAAACTCCTGGGCTCCAGCAGTCCTCCCACCTCGGCCTCCCAAAGTGCTGGGATTACAGGTGTGAGACACTGCACCAGGCCCTAGCTAGTTTGAACAGATCCCTTGAAAAGAAACTGCCTTGCCCAACATTCAACCTTGGAGCTTCAAGCTCCAGTACTTGTCTCACTTGCTGCTATTTATTTCCTGAACGTAAAACAGAAACTGGTACACAGTACCAATACTCAATAAATTACATAATTAATTATAGATTAGGGAAATGTTGCATAAAAACCCAATTATAATAGAAAAAAATTAACCACTCCTTACATCTACACAGAAGGATACCACAAATAAAATCCGCAGACAAAACCACTTAAATAACAATTTTAACCTCCTCCTTCCCAGCAATCTTAAGAAGAACCAGGCAAAACCTGCAGAACCGCTGGCTGGTAAGCAGCACTTACTGTCACTGCCTGGCCGCTCTCCTCTGAAAAGCCTGCGTGCAAGGCTAGCCCCCTACAGCCTGGGAGCCCAGATTCGGGGAGATGAGTTAAGAACGGCTCACAGGACCTGCGCTGTGCAAACAACATGGCTGACGCTGGACCCCCGCCTTCCTAATGGGGGACAGGCCTCTGGTTTCTGTCGAGCTCTCCTCGTTGGCAACACCTCACCCACGTTTCCAGACCACACAGCTGGGGGCATTGGGCAGCGTGCCTGGTTGCACAGTGTGCTCTCAGAAGCTGGCACCCGGTCTCCTGCCTCCTCCCCACGTGCCTTTGCGATCTTGCCTGGCAGCCTTTCTCCTTGACAAGTCACAGCCTGAGAGTGACTGCACGTCCAGTCCCAGGAGTCCTCCTAGTGAGCAGAGAGCCTGGCACAGTCTGGGGGATCCCTGATCCATCTGGGAAAGTTCATGGCGCTTCTACCTCCTCTCCTCCCTCTGAACACAGAAACAGCTAAGGGTTGTTTTGTCTGTGATAACCACGCCTGACTAAGGTAACCATATGCAAGTCAGCCTGAGGAGCCGGCGCATGCATTACCTTCTATCTCTTTCCATTCGGTTATGCCTCTCCCTACGCTGAGACCTTCCTCCCTGGGGCCCGCTCTGGGCCTGCTCCCCCAGGTTGGACTGTGAGGACTCCGAGGACGGCCAAGCGCCCTGCGTGGCTGCGGCACCTTCGCCCACATTCTGAATCTCTCCAAGGGCTCTTCGTTCTACATTTGTGTCCAACTGACGCATTCTACTCCGATTCCTCTTATTTAGTGCTTGTTTGCATAGCGCTTCTTCTTTGCAAAAGAAGAAAAAAAGCAGTTTTTAATTTTTTATTTTTATCTCAATTAATGCTGAATATACTTTTGGCCTTTTCAATCCAAGATATAAACATTACTGGGAAAGCAGCACGAAGTGAACCAGGCTGTCCGACTGCAGCCGCTCGGTGTCAGCAGGACCGTTAAGCTCCAAGTCTATTTTATACAACAAGGCTAACAAAAACCAATCGTCAAAGTAAAGACGCCTTCCGAGTGCTATGCAACCAACATGACGTCATCAAAAGTCCCTCTTTTTAATCAGCAGGTGTTAGCTATGAATATAGAAATCAAGAAGTTGTTCACTTTTTCTGAAAGTCAGATGGTTAAAAAAACAAACAAAAAACACCTGGACGCATTTCCTCCCAAAAATATTTTCTTTATATACAATTATTCTAAGAACAAAAAGAAAAAAAATCATTCTGACAATATTTTACTGCAATGCTCAGAAGAGAACAAAACTGAAGCAGCTGAGTTCTGCCCTTGCTTCAGAAGCAGCTCTCCTCCCCAAGGCAGTCAGCAGCACTGCGGGAGCCCTACTGCTGCGCAACACGCCACGCCACACGTGCACACGCGGAACTGCATGCATCAAAGATCTGCAGGCACGCGACTGGCAGGTGTGCGGACGTGCAGGCGTACGCCACACAAAGCACACATTTTGGAAGGATGATGATTTCGGGGGGACGGAGAGAGGAATTCAGTCGTGTTGGTGATATTTCATTCCTTAACCTGAGTAGTCAGCACGAAGCTACCTCAATACTCATCTCTGTAGCTTACCAATGTGAACATCTACTCTGGCATAAAACGCTGTAGGGAGCAAAAGGGAGTGACTGACACAGGAGAAGGCGGCAGCTCTCCCTCCCCATCGTGTCTTCACCAACTCTTGAAAACTGAGTGTAAGGAGCGTTCTTTTAATCAGGTAACTTCACCATCGTTTTCCAGGGCAGAAGGGACTACACAGGTGAGCACAGCAGCGCCCCCAGCAGTGTGTCTATTTCCAAACTGTCCTCGTCACCTTACAGCCTCTTGCTCGTGGCCAGGACCCACCTACTAGCATCCACCTACCAAAGCCTTTCGGCAGATGTCAGCTGCCTGCCTCACTCATGGAGTATAAAATAAGGATAATAAAAAACTATAGGCCAGGCGTGGCGGCTCACACCTGTAATCCCAGAATTGTGGGAGGCCAAGGTGGGCGGATCACGAGGTCAAGAGATCAAGACCATCCTGGCCAACATGGTGAAACACGGTCTCTACTAAAAATACAAAAATTAACTGGGTATGGTGGCATGCGCCTCTAGTCCCAGCTACTCGGGAGGCTGAGGCAGGAGAATTGCTTGAACCCAGGAGGTGGAGGTTGCAGTGAGCTGAGATTGCACCACTGCACTCCAGCCTGGTGACAGTGAGACTCCGTCTCAAAAATCAAACTATAAAGTGCTTTGAGAAACCTGAAGATAACTGGAAATTTATTGAAGTCTATCACTTTACTGTCAAGAAAAAGCCCTCCAACTCCACGTGCCCACACCAAGGTTAATTATCGTTGAGACTCAGAACGTTTACAGTGACATGACGGGGAAGCAGGTGGACAGATCCCTGAGATACACAGACTGTTTCCGGTGTGTACAAACCATCTCTCTCCCCTGCCCCGCAAGGCCAAAGCGCCATCAGCCACAGCGCTTGGTCAGGAGGACAAGGCTCCCTCGGCCTGCCGCTTCGCTGCTTACCTCCCACTTTAATCCAGACTTGCTCAGGCAAAGCTTTGTTTCTACTACCTAACGTCTGTTTAGTGGATTCGATTTCTTGCTGATAACAGAAAGAAAATGCTCTAGGCAATCCAATATCCTGGTGCTTGGCAGCTTCAAGTATAGAACATGAGTTACTAGAACTCTGGAAAAAATGAAGCAACAGGAATTTTATCAACATGTGGCTTAATCTCCTCTTTACTGCACAAATAAAATGCACTTAACAAACATCAAAGCTACTAATATGTGATTTGAAGAACTTTAGTTGCATTGAGGATTTAAAAAGATTCCCATACCACATAAATACTCAACTTTTACAGTTTTTGTTTTTTTTTTTCTTTGAGACAGGGTCTCACTCTGTTGCCCAGACTGAAGTGCCATGGTGCAATTTCAGCTGAGACCTCTGCCTCCCAGGTTCAAGCTATTCTCCTGCCTCAGCCTCCTGAGTAGCTGGGATTACAAGTGTCCGCCACTACCGTCTGGTTAATTTTTGTATTTTTAGTAGAGACAGGGTTTCACCATGTTGGCCAGGCTGGTCTTGAACTCCCGACCTCAAATGATCCACTGACTCGGCCTCCCAAGGTGCTGGGATTATAGGCGTTTGAGTCTCTATGCCTGGCTCAAAAGGCTAAGGTAACTGAAGGAGAAAAAAAAGCACTTGGGACCTAACCAAACTAAGTTAAAATTTACCCATTTAATACAAAAGAGCAAAGCTTCACAAATCATGTTCTTTACCTGTGTCTGTGAAAGACTAGAATTTCCACTAGCGGAGCAAGCATTCGCAGTAAACAGCGGGTAGGTGAACTGCAAAGCAGTAGCTGAGGCGGCAGGTTTATTCTTCACTAATGTTGTACATTTGTTTTGTTGCTGATGAAGAGGGACATTCACTAATTCAGATGGATGGCGAATGAGAGTTACCAAACTGCCAAGACAAAAGCAAGCCCAGAAAGTCAGGAGCAGGTGGCAGACAAGCATCCATCCGCCATCCCAGTCTAACGGCTCTGGCCAGTTTTCCGGACAGCAGCTCCTCTCTCACCCCGGAAACCTCTGTGCAAAACTGTCACCTAGTGCTGGCGGGAAGCAAGCCCGCCTCACCTCCCCGCTCTCAGCACATCCTGACACCAATGTCACTTTCGCCATCCTCCATCTGGCCAACATGGGCAACACAGGTGGGGACGAGCAGAAAACTGCGGACTCAGCCCCTCCGCAGCCATCCCTGGGGGTCGACAAGGGGGCGGCTGCAGGCTGGAGCTTCATTTTAGAGCTCAAAGCCTGCAAAGGCGCGTCGGTCCTTCCCACGCTTCCCTACAACTAGGAGCGCCACCGGCGCCCTCGGCCCCTCTCTCCAGGCGGCGCCACCGGGGCTGTTCAGCTCCCGGGAGGGCCTGCTCCCCGGGGCCCGCACCGCGCACACAGCCCTTCGGGGCGGCCCCAGACCCGGTGGGGCCCGCGCCCCCTGCGGCGGGGAGGGCAGGCTGGGGGCGTGCGCAGCGGGGCCCCCTTCGCCTCCGCCCCGGCCCCGGCCTCCACCCGGGCCCCGCCAGCCCCCGGCCTCCACCCGGGCCCCGCCAGCCCCCGGCCGCCGGGCACGCACTTGTTGAGCGCCACGCCCGGCTCGGGGGGCTCGGGGCCGCGCGGCGCGGGCGGCGGCTCGGCGGGGATGCTGTTGAAGCGGTCCTCCAGGCGGACGCGCACGGCCGGCTTGGCCCGGGCCTCGGGCGCCGCCTCGGGTCCCGCCGCGCCCGCCGCCGCGCCCTCCTTGGCGCCGTCCGCCCGGGCCCGCGCCCCGTCCCCGCCGCCCGGCGTCTTCTCCGCCGCGCCCGCCTCGCTCAGCAGCATCATGCGCAGCTCCTGGAAGTCGATGTGGCCCAGGCAGGGCGCGTCGGCCGCCAGCGCGGGCGGGCACAGCACGGGGTACACGGGCGCCGCGCCCCCCAGCCCGCCCGCCGCGAAGCCGCCCGCGCCCGGGCCCGCCGCCGCCAGCAGCGCCGAGCTGAGGCGCGTCTCGAGCTCGCCGTCGGCCGCCGCCTCCATGTGCGAGCAGAGGAAGTGCTGCAGCTGCGTGAACTCCACCTCCGTCATCTCCACCAGGCTCAGGTCGGTGGTCGTGAAGCTCAGCCCCGGCTCGCCCGGCGCCGCGTCCCCGCCGCCCGCGCCCTCGGCGCCCGCCTCGCCGCCCGCCGCGCCGGCCTCCGGCGGCGGCTCCCGCGGCCCGGGGCCCGAC